GATGGATGGATGGATGGATGAGTGGATGGATGGATGGATGAGTGGATGGATGGATGGATGGATAGATGGGTGGATGGGTGGCTGGATGGATGAGTGGATGGATGGATGGGTGGTGGATGGGTGGGTGGATGGATGGATGTGTGGATAGGTGGGTGGATAGTGGATAAATGTATGAATGGATGAGTGGATGGATGCGTGGATGGGTGAATGGATGGATGAGTGGGTGGATGCATGGATGGATGCATGCATAGGCAAATATACAAAATAAGTGTTAAAATGGAAATTAAATTATGCTAGCCGTCCTTTCAATCATGAAACGATATATATCAAAGAAGGTTTCCCACACCCATTAATTTATTCAGGCACCTTTGTTTTGCATATCTGTGTAGTATTTCATGGCTGGTTGAACCATGATTTTAAAATCCAGTCCTCTATTAATGTGCATTTACATTGTGTCAGTTTTTCCCATTACGAGCGGTGCAGGATGTGTCCCCCGCGCGCTGACAGCCCCCTGGCGCCCTCTTGCAGCGCTCTGGCAGGGGGCGTGGGAGTGCCCGGTGCCAGGTGTTCTGCACGCAGGCTGCAGCTGGAACTAGCTGGCTTCCTTCTGTGACATCCCCTTTAGTCCTGGCCCATGTGACAAGTGGGAAAACGTGTTAACTTGTTTTAATTATACTTTTGAAATTACGAATGAGTTTGAGCAGTTTTTCATACATTTGCTGGGTTTCTTTTAGTCTTTTTTATGGGAATCACCCATTTATAACCTTAGTCTGTTGCTCTACTGAGTGTGTTTATCCTGTTGATTTATAAGAGCTACTCGTATATTATGGAAATTAACCTGTATGTCTCATGTATATTAACAATGGTTTTCCCCACTCACTTTTCTTCCATTGTGTGTGTGTGTGTCTGTGTGTGTGTTTTACCAAACAGAAATAAACAGATTGTCAGAACCAGTCATTCATTATTCAGGTGATTTCTGGCTGGACAGTGTTCCTTAGAAGGGACTTCCCACACAGATGTGTGTGCTGTGTAATATTCGTCCACCTTTTCTTCTACTGTCACAGTTTTGGGATTCTGCTCAGTGCACATTTTGCACTGTCTAAGGTTTATCCTAGAATAAGATAGAAAAGAGGTTAATTTTTTTAAAATGTTCCCCCGGTGACTTCAACATCACTTGTTATAGTTCATCGTGGTTCTGGTGTATGCGAGTCTCAACCTCCACCAGTCAGGTTATGATGAAAAGGAAACATTTACTATTTAAGCGCACCTTTGACAATATTAGTAAACCAAAGCTCTTTTGTTTTAATAGAGGTCTCATGGGAGAAACAAGAAGTCAGAAATGCTGCGAGGGACTACCTCCCCACTTCCAGTTCATCTGAAAATGCCTGGGGCGACTACTCCTTGGATGAAATCGGGAGGACCTTCTGCCAGGAGGTGAGGGGGCTCTCCTGGTGCCAGGGGTGTCCACGTGCGGACGGAGAAGGGGCAGCTGTGGGATGCCGTTAGGTCAGACACTAATTCCCACATTAGCTCTGCTCCTGCCTCCACCCGCTTTCATACCTAGTTGGTAGCTGGTTGGTTTGTCAGCTTACCCCAGGGAGCAGGAAAAACTGAAATCAGACAAAGCGGAAAGGGTCGGAAATATCGGAGAATGTTGTTGTGACTCAATAATAAACAGCAGGAAAACCTTTGGCAATAAAACCAATCTTCATGGTATTTTTATGAGTCACATAAAAAAATCAGCGGTCAACCTACTTTACTGCACCTTAGAATTCCCGTGCATGAGGCCCATTCACCCCGAGCGTTTGTAATTCCCATTTAAAGAAGAAGCCCGAAGAAATAGCCAGGGAGTGTCCAGCGTGCACTGTCTGTACAGCCCTCCTGTTGATAATGCTCCTTACTGTAAAAGCTACTGCATTTTTAATGAAACTGCCGGGTTTTTGTCTGATGGGCCTGACTTAGTTGGGAGGAGCGGAGGGAGGGCTCCCGGCAGGGGGGGCCCAGAGTTTATTGAGTGAGATGCACGAAGCTGGCAGGTCCCCTGCGCGTTCTCAGCTCTGAAACCTGAGGAGAGCTGCTCTGTGCGCCCTGTTTTCCTGGGGGCCCTGTCTACCTGCCAGCTGAGCAGCTGTGACTGGGGACACTGTTTCGTAGGCACTCATCAATTAAACATTTGAAGTTCAGAACCTGCCTTCATAACCTTTTTGATCAGTTTTCGGAGAGGAAAACATGAAGAGGCTTCGGCAAAAATAACGCTGCCGAGTAGCCCTGTGAAGTTGGTTTCTGTGAGTGCAACACTCTGATTTCAACCCGTTGCAGCTTTCCAAGTGCCACGAAAAGGTGGAGAAAGCCCTGAGTGCCGGGGACCCCTCCAAATGTGGGTACATCTCCTTGACTTACCTCAAGATCGTCCTCGACGCCTTTGTGTACCGGTTGCCGAGGAGGGTTTTTATCCGGTTAATGAAAAGGTAGGCGTCCCGCTGTTCCCTCGGCGCTTTCTTTGCTCCCAGATGTCAGCCACGAGGCTAAGGAGCAGCTTCATTTATTTTTTATTATTGTTTTGGGCTTTTTGCTGTTGAAAGCTTCAAACGCTTGCAGAAATGAAGAGAGTAAGAGGAGGGGCCCCCGAAGGTGTCCACGCCCAGCCCCAACCCGCAGCCCATGACCCAGAGTCTCCTCTCGGTCCCTGAGCATCACTCCTTAACCCCAGGGGTTTCTGAAACAAATACCAAACGTCAGAGTTCATTGACAAGATCTCACTACCTGTCTCTAAAAGATAAGAACTCTTTTTAGCCCCGGCTGGTGTTGCTCAGTGGTTGGAGCATCAGCCCACGCACCGGGGTCAGGGGGCGCCTTCCAGAGCGGCTTCCTGCTGTCACTGGTCGGGATGCTTCTGCAGTGAAAGCCGCTGTCTGGTGGCTTGGTGACAGTGAGACGCCATTAGCCTAAGAAAGGCAGGTACCCTTGGCTCTTTCCCTTCGCTTACTGCTTTTCAGAAAGGTGCCTGGGCTTCCTAGCATCCTTCAGAAGTTTGCCACGAGCAGCCTTTCCTAAAAGATTTTACGAATTCATCTCAATCCATTACAGTTGTTATTCTCGTTGATACTCAGTCGGCTCCGTCTCGGCCACCGGCAGCCTTTGGGCACTGTCCCCGAGTCTGCCGGTGTCACCCTCAGAGTCTGGGCGGCTCTCTTGCTTTCCGGTTGACAGTGCTCCCGGGGCCCGTTTCCCACCCCAGCCCTCCCCAGCGCCGTGTTCAGTCACCGCCACGCCCGCGTGGCTCCTGCGGGGAGGCAGACCGTGGCCCACGAGTGAGTACCTCCGGGCGCGGCAGGTGGCTTCGTTGTCCGGCCTGGACGTGGTGGCGTTTTCCAGGGTTGCCCTCTTGGAAAACTGAAAGTTACGTAGGCCTTTCTTTTTATTTCACTTTCGGAATCAAACAAACAATGATAATTGAATAGCAGTAAGAAAAGTCAAAACCAAAACGGCACCACCCACCTTTCGTAACAAATTTACCGCTTCTGTTTCCCATGTCCCTCCCGCTTTGCGTCCATGTACACACGTAATTTTCACGTGTGTGACCCCGGCGAGCCCGCGTCCTACATCGTGCTGCGTAGACGGGGTCATGTTACAGTCGTTCCTCACCGCCCCCCGCAGCCTTCAGGTTGTAAGCTCTGGGACACACTGAGCGCTTCTCTCCGCCGGACCTCGTGGCGGTGCGGGGATGCGGGGTAAGTAGCCCAGCCCCGCGCTGCCGGCTCGCAGGGCGGGCGGCCCTGAGGACGGAGGGGGCGTGGAGCGAGCGTGTCAGGAGGCTGCGGGCAGCCAGCGCCGCGCCGTCGGGATGGCCTGTTCTAGCCACGCGCCCAGAAGTCCCAGCGGAACAGGACACGGGACCGTGGCCAGCCTAGTGCCCGGGGCCTAAGGTGTAAGCTACGTATGTCCCCTGGGGGCCGTATCTGGACGTACAGATTTGCCCCGTCCCCCGGTCAGCTGGTCCCTTCACAGTTCTGTAGGCATCTGCGTCGCTCTGGCTTTCATTGTCTTCCTTACCTGGTACATCTGCGCGTATACTTTTCAACCCTCACTGGAGGAGATGCTCAGAGAGGAAGCGGAGGGAGAGCGATGGGTCGCCTTCCATATGCGCCTGACTGGGGATCGATCCCGGGGACCCAGCTGGGCGCCCGTCAGTGCGCGGGGTGACGCCCAGCCCGCCGCGCCGCCCCTGGCGGTGAAACACCCGCGACAGTTTTCTTCGGATTAGCATTTGCCGGGTCCCTGTTTCCCCAGCTCCTGACTTGCGCTCTCTGGTCGTCCTGTTCTAGGCCTGCTTCCTGTAAAACAGCACCTCTCCGCTTCTCCACAATTCCAGAACGGACGTCTGTGCCTTTTTTACGGAGAAGTTGAGCCTGTTTCCGTTTATTGTGAGGGCCCTTAGGGACTCTTCCTACCGCTTACTTTTCCCTCTGCCTCGCTTACTCAGCTGGCCCTTACCTCCTTCTCAGCCGCGTTTGGTTCTGAGTTTCCCTACCCCTCTTTCTCCTCTCCGCGGCCTGAAGACGTAAACGCTTTATTTCTGTTCCTGTAGAGGTTACCCTTAAATTTAAACACCTGTTCTAAACTTATGAGGCCCAAGTTAACCCGTATTGCTGCTGTCGTGAGTAAAACGAGCACCTTTCACTTACTGGGTACCACCGCCTAGGGCTTTGACCCCGCCTTGTTTTGACAGCACCTGTTAGCTGTTATTATTATTATCATCATTATTTAATGCGGCCTGTGCTTGCCTAGACTTCCTCATGTCACCAGCTTGTTTGCTCGCCACCCCCTCAGCCGCACTCTCCTTCTGAATTCCCTTTCCTGAAACACACCCCTTAGCCGTCCTTTCAGTGAGTCCTGTGGGCGGTGCGTTCAGCCTGTTTTCGGAAGTGTCTATCCCCCCCTCACTTTTTAGTGAAGCCCAACCGGGAGTGGAATGCGTGTTGGAGAGTCATTTTCCCCTGGCACCTCGAGGATGTTGTCCATGGTCTTCTGGCAAGAGTTTTTTTCAGCTTGCTGTTTCCCTCCCAGTTAGGTGGTACCTCCTCGGTTCAAAGTTCACATTTTGAAAAAGTAAATATGTTTTTATGGATTTTTGAGAGAGGGAGACAGAGAGGAAGGGAGAGGGAGAGAGAGAAGCGTCTACGATGAGAGAGAACCATCGATGGGTTGCCTCCTGCACAACCCCTGCTGGGGATCGAGCCCACACCCGGGCGGGCGCCCTGCCGGGAGCTGAACCCGCGACCTCGGGTGGATGGGACGGTGCTCAGCCAACTGAGCCACGCCGGCCAGGGCCCAAGTCCACATTGTAATATAATCGAATACACAGATCTTCTTCTTTTGTGATGTGGTCTGTGGCTTAAAAATCTGTAACTTCATCATTCTTACCCAGGCGTAAAGTCTTTGAAAACAAAACGATTTATAATCCATTCTAACAGAAGGTGGGTATCCAAATTAAAACTTTCCCCAAGTAGGTGATCTGCTTTACCATCACCACTATTAAATACCCCTCCTTCCCCATTGTTTTGACGTCTGCTTTGCCATGTTTGAAATCTCACCCATGACCGGTCTGGTGCGTCTCCACCCCGTTCCACGGACCCGGCTTCTCCAGGGCGTGGATGTTTCCTACAGTGCGCCGTGCGCAGTGCTGCACCCCCGGCCGGCCCTTTCTGCTCCACCCTGAGAGTGAACACTGGGCTCCCTGGGTGGTCAAGCAGCTTTCCACCTACTTTTTTTTTTTTTTAATCCTCACATGAGGATATTTTTTCAATTGCTTTTCAGAGAGAGAGAGAAACATCAATGTGAAAGAGACACATCCATTGGTTGCCTCCTGCACGTGCCCCAGCCGGGGTCAGGGATCAAGCCTGCAACCGAGGCACGTGCCCTTGACTGGGAATCGAACCCGAGACCCTTCAATCCATGAGCCGATGCTGCTCTAACCACTGAGCCAGACCAGCCAGGGCTCCACCCACTTCTTGAAATCAGATGGCGATTGGTAAGGACTCAGCACTAATCACGTCGCCTCCTGAGAGAGAAGCTGCTGGGTTCTGCGCGGAACCATTGGCCCAGGAGAAACGAGCTCGAGGCGGGACAAGTGTCAGCAGTGAGTGGCTCCGGGGTGGCCCTGGGCCCCAGTGCTCCTCTTCCCTTGCTGCTTCTCTAAAGCCCCAGAAAATGACAAAGCCCTAGGAACGGAGGGGAGTTGGGCGGACTCCGGGATCGGGCTGGGCGGGGTGGCTCCCGAGGGGCGCTCGAGGGAGGCTGTGGGCTGGCGGAGCCCCTGCACCCCGAGGGTGGCGGTTCCACGAATCTATACCCACCTCAGAGATACTGTGGGCTCGGTTCCAGACCGCCGCGATAAAGCAAGCACTGCAACAAAGCGAGTCGTGACCTTTCGGCTTTCAGTTTGTAAAAATGCAATATTTGTGAAGCGCGGGAAACTGAAGTATCTCTGTATATGTGTTAAAATTTATAAAACTGTACACCAAATGAAAAAGTCCATTTTACTGCATCTTAATTTAAGAAGTAAAATGTAAAAACATGGCTTTTTTAAGGCAGAAAAATACAGGAAATAATAAAGAAGGCAGTAACATAAAACCTAATCTCTCATGCCCAACAAAACAGTTTGAGAAATTAGTCTTCCTATCCAATTTAAGAATGGATAATACAGGAAAATGGATAATACAGGAAAAAATGGGCATCTTTTTAAGTGTGTTGTTCTTTTAAATACTCAAGGTCTAGCTAGGGCCTAAATTTAGAACACTAACAGCTTGGTAATGAGGCGTACAGTCTTGATCCAAACGATATTTTAGAGACTTTAAAGCTATTTCCCTCCATATTGTAAATGTAACGGTAGACTGTAACTGAGCAACTAACCTGCCCTTCATCGCTAAGGTGCTGCGCTTCCCGGTGGGGCCTAGACTTCCACACAAAATAGATCTGTCAACATAAGGCCAGCGTGTAAGCAGGAGAGCGAGGCTCAGGGAGAGCCCAGAGGATGGGATGATCGCTGTTGTGACTTGTGATCGCTGTTGCAGTCTCCGGAGACTGTGCGGCCTTCACTCCGACACCCCCTGCCGAGAATGTCCCGCTCACGCTGGGAGCACGAGTGCCCGGCAGAGCTACGCAATCAGAAAGCCGACGCCGCTTAGCCCAGATTCTGCGACGTGGAATAGCAGTACCCTGGGATATGCTTTCAGTTATTGCCCACACCTTTCCAACGCAGTGTCCGGGATCCCTTCTACTTCTATGCCATTCCGGAAAAGGCAGATCCAGGGGGACGGAGGCGAGATCAGTAATGCCAGGACTGGGGGTGGGAGGGGGTTGACTCCGACGGGCACCCGAGGGGGCGTGTGGGGCGAGGGAGCTGTTGGGTATCCTGTTGGGGTCTTGATCGGGACACACATGGGCTGGTCTAGGCAGCGAGCAGATGGCATGTGAGTTTACTGAAGGGTCTTCCCCAGGCGGGGGCGGGATTAGGTGAAACAGTAGGTGGGGAAGCCATGCTCTCCCCTGGGCCGCGGGGCCAGAGAAGGAGCAGTCACTGAACCAGAGCCCAGAGCGGCCGCTGAAGGTGAGGGTGGCCCAGGAGCAGACGAGGCCTTCAGGCGAAGACTGTGAGCAGCAAGGCGCCAGCCCACTGCCCTACTCTACCTGTCAGACACTGCCACGTGAGCCTAACAAAGTCGGTCGGCCAACCCCCCCCCCCACTGTGTGCACAGTGCTAACAGCAAGAGCAGCGGCAATAAGCATTCGTCAGGCATTAACCAAGCGCTGTGCAGTCGTGAGCTGCTAATATCACTTAGACGGTCGTGATCAGTGCTCTAAGGGAAGGTGACCCCGTGCTGAGAGGTGCGCGATTAGGGCAAATCGCCCTGGGAATGGAAGTCAGGGGAGGCTTCCTTGAGAAAGTGATGGTTAAGTTGAGACTTGAAAGAGGAATAGAATTAACTGCATAAAGCAGGGGTGGGGAACCTTTTTTTTCTGCCAGGGCCATTTGGATATTTATGACATCATTCGTGGGCCGTGCAAAATTATCAACGTAAAAATTAGCCTGCTGTGTTTGGTCAAACATTTCATTAACTCCCCTCTCGTGTGATGGCTGGACCTGCTTCTCTTTGGTGAGGCCTTGGCAGGGCCAGGCCAAATGATTTCACGGGCAGTATATGGCCTGCGGGCCGGATGCTCCCCACCCCACACACAGCGCGGGAGGTAGGGAGTGATGGGGAGGGGACGGCGTGGGGGCCGGCAAAGGAGGCAGCAGCTAAGGAGCTAGGACAGGGCGAGCGTAGCCCTTTTGAAGGACTGAGGGACCAGTGCAGCCAGAGCTCGGGGAGCAAGGGGGCGCTGTGACATAGGACGAGGCTGGGGATGCTGGTAGGGCCAAGCTCTGCAGGGCCTCTGTTACAGAGGGCTTTCGTTTTTACCCCAAGAGCCTGGAGAGTCACAGAAAGACCTTAAGCAAGAGAGTAATCTGATCACGTCTGCATTTCAAAAAGAGCAGGCTGGTTAAGGTATGAAAATATACTGGAGGAAGGCGAGGGGAGCACACGGAGGCCAGGCAGGAGGTCGGCACCGTACGTGGATGCAATGGATGGACAGCTGGGGGGGGCGTGCTCGGTAACCCAGGGGAGCTGGCGAGACTCGAGGACTGTAACCTTAAAGAAACTTAACCACGTGTCCCACTGCCCCTTAAAATTGCTCAGTCGGATTAGTTCTTTTGCCCCTGGATGAAAACACGAGCCAGACCTTGGTTTTTCTGGGTTTAGCGAATGCAGTAGCCATCCTCGCAGGGGAGCCAGAGCTGTGGACTTGACTTAAATGGGGACTTTGCTCCCTCACCCAGTCAGGGCCTGTTGTGGGCGAGAACAGGGGGCGCGCAGATGACTCCTACTCCCTCTCCCCACTTTGCCCTTTGCCTCCTGTCTCATTTGCAAACTGTCTCTGGCCCCTCCAGGAATTGGAGAGCACCAGGGAAGGAGAGAGAGAAAGCGGGGCATGAAAGTTCGTATTTGACGGGTACTGCGGGGAGCTGGAGACCATCTCCGGGCCTCTCCAGCGTCTGAAGGTGTCTCCTTTCATGAGAGCCGTCGCTGGGTGTTTGGGTTTCACCTTTGGACCACACATCCCTCGTCCTGTGATGAGGGCGGATGCACCTCCGTGTGAGCTGGTTGCTTGTTTCCGGGAAACATCTGTTAAGGTCTGTTCATCCCGAGGTGCCCCCGTGTGTGGCTGTGCGCACACACGTGCACTTGCTGTCTCACGTGCCCCGCGTCTGATCCATGTGGAATCGGTTTTCTCTCAGCCACTGGTTTTCAGCAATCTGTGTGAAAACAGACTTTCAGCAGCTTGTCTCACGCCCACTTTGGCATCTCTTGTCCTTGTTTAAGGGTCTCGGCACAGCTACCTTTGGACGCCCTGGTAGGGTGGCACTCAGTGTGTCAATCACACAGAACAGCAGGGATGGTGGGACTGAACTCTTGCTGGGATCTAGTGCAGTAGGAGGGGCTTTGACCTGTTAGCTCTGCTCCCTATAGCAGCCCTCCCAGGGCACGGCCAGATCAGGCCACCTAGAGAGCCCAGGTGCTCTCCCATCTCAAGGTCCTTGTCCTTAATCACACCTGCAAAGTCCTTTTTGCCACATAGTCCCAGTCCCAGTCCCAGGGCTTAGGACGTGGGCACCTGAGGGCCTTTATTCTGCCCATACAATGATGAATTTGATAGAATTATTTCACAGACAGTAGAATTTTAAACAAATCCCTTTGTTCCTTCAGTGTATGTTCCTGCTAATGGGATATAAGGACATGGAGATGTATAATCAGTTTAATTTTTTTAATTGATTTCAGAAAGAAGAAGGGAGAGGGAGAGAGATAGAAACATCAGTGATGAGAGAGTCATTCATCGGCTGCCTCCTGCACGCCCCCGACTGGGGATGGAGCCCGAAACCCAGGCATGTGCCCTGACTGGGAATCCAACAGGGATCTCCTGGATCCTAGGTCGACGCTCAACCACTGAGCCATGCCAGCTGGGCTTTCTTTGCTTTTTAAATCCTTATCTGAGGATATTAATTCCATTGCTTTTCAGAGAGAGTGGAAGGGAGACAGAGAAACATCGATGTGAAAGGGAAACATTGATTGGGTTTCTTTGCTTTTTAATAGTCAGTTTGTATTACGATTTTACCAAATTATTTTGTTTACCTTAGATTTGAAGCTTTATAAAAATTCGTTGCCGCCATTTAAAATTCAATATTGAACATCTCATCCTTGTAATGTTCAGGAAATAATGTTTAAAATGATTTTTTAAATCCAGATTTGGACTTAAACCCACCAGTAAGATCAACTGGAAGCAGTTTCTAGCATTGCTGGGCAATCCTCAGAGGATGGAGGTTAACAACATGGCTCCCCTGACCGTAAAAAACAGGTATGTAAAACAAAAAAATCCTAAATTTTAGTTGTGTCCCTATAACACGTAAAAGGTGGGAAGGTATCTGAACCGCCTTTTCTTCACTCACTGGGTGACCGATTAGAGTGCGTTGAACAATCAGGAGCTCTGACCGAGTGGCCTTCAGCTTGTGAGTTGTTTTCCGATCCCTCTGACTCCAAAGGGCCTGGAAGCGGCGGGCAGGTGTCTCTGGGACTCCAGCTGTGGCCGGGCAGTGGGACCCTGGTGCTGGGA